TGGTTGGAATGCAGACTATCTTAAAGTTAATATTAAGAAATAATTTTACGAAGGCAGGTGTAACGGTTTTGGAGATCCAATTAAATATATATATATATATATATATATATATATATATGCCATTTGGGGGACCAAAATGATCTTTATACTTATGCACATCAAATTATCAGATATCTTCTATATATATAAAAATAAGTCGGGTTTTCCTTCCTGACGAAATAACTCCAGAACGCACGAACCGATTTCGACAATTTTGCATTCGTTGGAAAGGTCTCGGGCTCCGCAAGGTTTATAGCTAAGAAAATTAGTTGTGCATGGCATCGTGCCCTAATGCAAATTGCTGGAACTTCACGCACCGTAATTAAAATTCGAGTAATAAAAATAATCAACAATTGTTTTAAATAATTTCAAATAGATTATCTTCTCTATGTATTAAAATAAGTCGGGTTTTCCTTCCTGACGAAATAACTCCAGAACGCACAAACCGATTTCGACAATTTTGCATTCATTGGAAAGTTCGGGCTCCGCATGGTTTATAGCTAAGAAAATTAGTGGTGCATGGCATCGTGCCCTAATGCAAATTGCTGGAACTTCACGCACCGTAATTAAAAATTCGAGTAATGACATTAGTGAGAATTATCAGAATTATGCTTGGTTAAGTCAACGAGCAATTCTTGCCGCCAAGAAATATGATGTACACGCACTGAATTTCACCATTCAATCAAAAATTGCTGGCGATTTGGTGACATACCAATGATTCCGACTGGTCTTAAGTTTGACTTCAAACGATTGCAATTTCCAGTTCGCCTTGCGTTCGCAATAACAAGTCGCAAGGCCAATCGCTTAGTGTTTGCGGGATAAATTTCAAATAGATTATTTAGAAAATCATTGTTTTTCACATGGGCAGTTATACGTTGCCTGTTCACGAGTTGGAAAACCATCCGCTTTGTTTGTGTTAACGTCAGACCAAAAAACAAAAAATGTGGTTTACCAAAGATCACTTCCATGGAACGGATAATTTGCGGATTCACTTTCATTTACTTAGAGAAGTTCAACTAAAAAACACTTCATTTTTGTAATCAAAATAAATTCGTTACTGTTGTATAATAAAATCAAATTATTCCTTTTAAAATATAAAACAAACAAGAAATTTCTTCATCTTTCTCACGAAGCCATCTGGTGGCGAAACGGAGTTCGTCGGGTTTGCTAGTTTTATATAAATTTTAATAATAATTACAAATTATTACAAATTTTGTTCATATTTCTATGAGTCCGTACCAATGTTTATCTATTAGACTGCAATGCGGCGCTTACGCGCTTCGATATTTCCTTTTGCTTCTATTTTCTTGCTTTAAAACAGTTCAAAATTATCAGTAAAATTTGAAGTATGAAAAAATCAAATTGTTCAAAGTCATTTTCTCCAATAATTTTAAAAATCTAATTTTTCACCAAATTTTTAAAAAAATTTAAAGGTTTTTCAACAATTTTAATTTTCGGTACGGGAGCATAACTCAACAGATACATTTTTTTAATAATTTGTCGATCGATATTTAATTTATCAGTAAAATCCCGTTGTTAATTTTTGTTTCAGTTTGTTCGTCAGTAGTCTTTTTTTTCTCTATTCTATTCTTTGTTGACTATAAAGTCATTAGTAATTTGCTCATCACTAATAACTCTTTCACTTTGAATTATTTTTTCTCAAGAAAGAAGCTCTTTTGGTGTTCAATATTTTTATTTTCTTGACAGTAGAGTCCTTTTTATATGTTTATTTTAGTTTGCTCGTCAGTAGAGTCCCTTATTCTATTAAAAAAAATTAATTTGCTCGTCAGTAGTCATTTTTATGTTTAATTCAGTTTGCTTGTTAGTAAAGTTTCTTCCTTTATTGACGTTTTTAATTTGCTCTCCAGTAGAGTCCTTTTTATATGTTTAATTCAGTTTGCTCGTCAGTAGAGTCCCTTCCTCTTTTTTATTTGCTCGTCAGTAAAGTCCTTTTTGAAATTAAATAATTTGATTTGGTCGTCAGTAGACTCTGTTTTCTTCTGATTTATTTTGCTCGTTAGTAGAATCCTTTTTCTTCCGGGTTTTTATTTATTTTTCTCGTCAGTACAGTCCGTTTTCTTCCAATTTATTTGTTTTGCTCGTCAGTAGAGTCCCTTTTCTCTTAACATTTTAATTTGTCAGTAGAGTCCCTTTTCTCTTAACATTTTTATTTGCTCGTCAGTAGAGTCCTTTCTTGTTTTAATTCTATTTTGCCCGTTAACAGGAACCTTTAATGATAATCTCTGTGGTTACTTTTCGAAATTTATTTTTAATTTGCTCATCCGTACAATTCTTTTTTTCTGATATTATCAGAAGGTGTACATCAGTAGAGTTCCTTTTTTTCTTCTAATATCTGAATTTCCGCTTTTTTGTCAGATTGTCTGATTTTACTCGCCAGTAGAGTTTTTTTTCATTTTCTACCCGTCGAGACCTTTCCAATGGTACCCAACATGCCATAAGATACAATCAAAGAATTTTGAAGTAAAACTTCTTTAGGTTCGTTTAATACAACAAATTCAATATCAAAGTAAAATTTTTATATGCGTGTTTAATCTCTTTTTAGCTCTTTAAGATTGTATTTATTTTGCTCGTCAGTAGTCTCTTTTATATTTTTATTTCGATTTGCTCGTCAGTAGAATAGGTTTTTGTATTGACACTTTTGAATTTGTTCGTCAGTAGAGTCCTTTTTATATTAAGATTACGATTTGCTTGTCAGTACAGTTCATTTTTTTATAAACATTTTAATTAGCTTGTCAGAAAAGTCCTTTTATTACTAATATTATAAGTAGAGTCCGTTTTATTCCAAGCTTTTATTTATTTGGCTGGTCACTAGAGTCCTTTTTCTTCTGCGTTTTATTTGTTTTGCTCGTCAGTAGAGTCCTTTCTTTCATCATCTGTTATATTTAATTTGTTTGTCAGTAGTGTTCTACTTGTATAGTTTGAAAATTGGCATTGCCAGTTCTCTTTTTCAAAGTTAAATAACGTATAGATAGATAGATATAGATAGTCAATAGAAAAGGGGACTCTACTGACGAGCAAATTGTAATGTTAATAGAAAAAGAGACTTTACTGTCATGCAAATTCAGTTCGAATTTAAAAAAAACTAAGATATAACCGAGAATAGGCCCCAGGAGTGTGTTTTTGTTGTTCCTGGTTTGTTCACACATTTTCTGATGCTGTACGAATTTGTGTTGTAAAAACCAGGTAGATTAAAATTTTTGCGATCGCATTTTGAAAGTAATTTATTTACTAATTACTTTCATGAAGAGAGCAAAAGACATTATAAACATTAAACAAGAAATATTTTTTTTTATTTCTCAAAATTCAATTACATCCTGTTTTATAAAATACAAAAAGCATTAAGTAATTATAATAATAATAATAATAATAATTTTCTTATTTTAGGATACCGAACAAAAACGTGCAGGCCAATATTTCTTCCTGGAAGAATAGACGACAAAAAAACAAACAAATTGATTGCTGCTACAATTAAATTAATAAAACAGGTCTTAGGAAAATAAAAGGAAAGTAAAGTAAAGTAAAGCGCTTTATATATTTATACAACTTGGGACATCATCAAATTTATACGAACAGATAAATATATATAAAAGAAACCTTTACTTTATATATATATATATATATATATATATATATATATATATATATATATATTATAAAAGTAAAGGTTTCGTCCTTGTATGATAACTGTGTGCAAAATAAATGATTTTTTTATTTTGTTGTAAACATTTTGTGAAGTTTTATTTACAGTTAATTTAAATTGGAACATTATACCCTTTTGTTGACAACTTCACTTCACTCTGCTGCACAGACATTTTTTTTTGTACTGATGCAACACTTTTTTTGTTCTTGTTCAAGTGAAAACAAAATGGCAGTTGTAGACAAAATAATTTTATAAAATTTTTAGTTGAATTTGTTGTGTTTGTAGGTATATAATTATAAATGATACTGTTTTTGTGCAGGTGTTTATGAAGGTATCAATAAAAAGTGTGATTAAGATATAAGAATGATAATTTGTGGTAGTTTTTACTAAATTCAATATTTGTAGGTTATGTTTACTTTTAGTTTCAGTTTTGTTTAAATTTAGTTTATAATTCTTGTTTATAAAGATTATATAAGTTAATTTGTTCTTGTGAGTGGTTTTGGTGCCTTTTGCAAGAACTTGTGTGGTAAGTTTTTGTATATTTATCATTTTTAGTTGTATTATGTTTTTTTTATGTCCATCGATTTGAGTACATTATATTTGAATAAATCTTCTTTTTGTACTATTATTTCTTAAAGGGTTCTCGAATTTAATTATACTATTATTATCTAAGGTATTATAACAATCGATTTAACAAGGATATGTTTGAATAAATCTTTTGTATAAAAATAGTATCTTAAGGTTCTCGAAACTCAAACAAGTGGTTTCTAGTGAAAAGATATTTTAATATCAACTCTTAGAACTCTTTTAAATTTATTTGATAATTCTCTTTTGAATACATTACACACAAGTTTCTTTTGTTTCTGCATATGGTTTTAATGCATTCTAATTTATAATTTGTGTGATGAGTTTTTTACATTCATCTTATTATCTTTATTACGTATTTTCGAAATTAGTCATTATTTTTAGTTATCATTGATTAACATTTGAGTAAATCTTTTCCTTATAAGAGTATCTTTGGGTTCTGCTAATCCAAATAGTGTTTATTAATACAAAGATATTATTTCTTCCTGTAGGGTAAGTTATTTAATATTTATTATAGTCACTAATATATTATAGTTTATGTTCTCAAAGTCTTTAATTAAATCTCAGAGTCCTCGAAATCCAAACGATTTAGTATGCAGGTTAATTAATATTGATGATTATCAATGTGTTTGTTTAAAACTTTTTCTGGAAATCAGAATAGCAGTATTTTGTTCTAAGGTATTATAATATCTATCATTTCTTGCTGTTTTATTTTTTATATTTAGTTCATTTCTATTTTTATTATGTACTTTTCAAGTTATGTATTATTTTTTGTAATCATTGATTTAACTTTCTTTTGAGTAAATCTTTTATCTGAAATAGTTGTTTTGAGGGTTCTCGAATTTAACTATGCTTAACTAATTTTTAACTTCCAATGCCGAAATTTTTAAAAGGTTTTAAATTTTTTGAATATTTCGTAAATTTTAAATTGTTTTTAAAGCCATCGCACAGCGTAGATGTTTCCAAGGCGTATATCGAAGCGCGTAAGCGCCGCGTCATTATCCAACGGTTAAATAATGTAAATTATTTGGAAATAGAAATAAAAATTTGTGCCTAATATTTCATTTTTTATAAAATATATAATAATGTGATATTCATATATCAAATGATCATTTAATCCAGCCAAATGGCATATTTTTCAAGTTTTTTTTAATTAATTTTCCGAAACCGTTAAATCTGTCTTTCCAAAAATATAACCAATTTTTTATTATGTCCATAAATGTTATGAATTTTTTGAATCATTCAAATTGGACACTCCGTTCTCTCAAGTACTGAATTACTGTTTTTGGCACTCTTTGCTCCGTATCTCTAAAACCACTGGTTCTGTTTTGCCAAAAACTAATCAGCAGCTCTCCTTAACAACAGCAATCGAATGTTTTTTGAATCATTGAAATCGGTTGACCGCGTTCCTGAAATCGTCGATGAAATTTTGAATCCGCACACACACACATCCATTTTCTCTAATTTTAAGGTATGTTAGTAAAATGTTCAGAAACTTCTGAAACGTAAAGATATATAAAAATTTTCATTTTCGATTTTTTTGCGATTATTTTAACTTAACCTAGGGGAAGTTAATAAATGTAAAAAATGTCGCAGACTATTTAACGGTAACTTAACGTTTTATTTAACGGATAATTTAAATTTTATAATTTGCTTCAGAAAATTTTATTTAAAATAATAATATTAATAATTAAATTTAATAATTAAGTTTTACATAAGCATTAAACATGTTTCAAACTGATGATTGTATTTCACGACGGAGAAATTTTTGTAGGAAGTTAAAAAAAATTAAACTGTTTTAATTAAATAAAGATTATTATTATAAATTTATAAGGAAATCTCGTGTTATGATTGTGACGACAAAGTCATACGACTGATTCATCATCCGTGAAGTCTTTCGAAGACTTTTCTAAGGAATTCCATATGTCATCACTATTATGTACATACATATATGTATATGAATATATATGTAAAAACAGGTTGACATGGAATATTTTTGTATTGGTTTAATTCGTGACATCATACATATATAAATGTATATATGCATATATATATAAAAGTGTGCGCGCATGCCACGTAATATTTTTCACCTTATTGACGGGCAGGGATTGCAAACAAACGTTTTTCCTAAATTTAATATATGTAACTAGTTATAAATGGCATTTTGCCTTACGGCAAGTTTCATCAACTTCCGAAATATGTATACATAATTAACTTAATTAATAAAAAATGAGGTTTATTTATATTCCAGTCTTCTTTGTACTTTTCTTTACAAAGTGTTTACGTAGTACACTAAATTTCATACAAATATTGTATTACTACAGATATCTTGCATAGTATGTGCGGTGTAATCTTGTTAGGGAAATTAGTATAGTGCAGAACAAACGAACACACTTATACTATACTTTCCGAACAAAATTTAAATTTTGAGAGATATTTTGTACAGTGTTGGTGTGAAAATCTTTGTTCAGAAACTAGTATAACATTGGTATAAAAGGACTCTACTGACGAGCAAATTAAATTTGTAAATGATAATATCTACAAAGTATTATAAAAAAGATTCTACTACCGTTTCAAAATAAGTTTCAAATTTGTGAAAAATATTCAAATTTGAAAATTTTTGACAAAGAAGAGACTCTACTGACGAGCAAGTTAGACTTGAACTTGTGAAGAACTCAAATTAGCTCGTTGGTAGAGTCCTTTTTGCCTTGACATTTTTTAAACATTTCTCATTAATATTTTGGGCAAATTTAATTTGCTCGTCAGTAGAGTTTCTTTTTGTTTTAACATTTCTCATTCATAGTTTAATTTGTAAGTCAGTAGAGTCATTTATGTTTTAAAATTTTTAATGTTTTTTAGATCGAATGTCTCATCTGGCGTGAATATAAATTTCTCCTTTGGGAAGTTTAAAAAGAACTCTACTAATGAGCAAACTAGAAAAGACCAGATAAAATTTTACTAATTAGCAGAAAACAAAAGCGAAACTTAGTTTGCTCGTAAGTAGAGTCCCTTTTCTATTTTGTTTATTTTTAGTTTGCTCGTCAGTAGAGTCCAATTTTTTTTTTTTTATTCTTAGTTTTCTCGTCAGTAAAGTCTCATTTTATTTCCTTCTTCAATTTGCTCGTCAGCAGAGCCTCTTTTTTGTTCATTATTTCAGTTTGCTCGTCAGTGGAGTCTCTTTTGTCTTTTATTTTCAGTTTGCTCGTCAGTAGAGTCCCTTTTCATATTTTACTTCAGTTTGCTCGTCAGTAAGGCCCTCTTTACTATTTTTTTCAAGTTTTTCCAAAGCAGATTTTCTTTTCCATTTCATTACAAGTTGCTCGTCAGTAGATTTACTTTTGTCTCTTATTTCGTCAGCAGAGTCTCTTGTTATAATTTATTTCAGTCTGCTCGTCAGTAGAGTCCCTTTTGTTAATTACTATACTTTGAAAATAGAGTTCTTTTCCATTATTCTCGATAGTAAAGTCTCTTTTGTTCATCATTATTAAATTTAATTGTCCTTCTGTATATTTATGTTTGCTCGTCAGTAGAGTTCGTTTTCTGAGCGGCAATTTTAAAATTCTATCGTGACAATTTTAAAAGTAGCTAAAACCCAATTAGTATTTTGATTAAATCGATTATTTACACATATCGCAACTTGCCTTAAAGCAAAATGCCACTTACACCTGATCCTACTGATTAAATGTTCGATAATTTTTTACATATAAAGTGCTACCATACTAGTTTCTAAACAAAGATTTCCACACGCACACCATACAGAATATCTGAGAAAATTCTATTTTGTTTTAAAACAAGTCTTTACTAAATTCCACAACGAGATTTTACCACACTTACTATGGGAAAGATCTGAAAAAATGTAATATTTGTATGGAATTTAGTATACAACACACTTTTTGAAGAGAAAATGGCTAAGAAAAAAAATATAAATAAATCTCAATTCTTAACGATTAACTTGATTATTTATATTTTTTGCAACTTGCCTTAAGGCAAAATACCAGTAGAGAGCTTTTCCATATATATTTATACAGTTGTGCTTGCAACGCTTTTATTAATATTTTGATTTAATAAAGTTTCGCTAATTAGGCGGATTTAGGTAAAAATTAATATTTTAACAATTCAATGATGATTTTATCAAACATCAATATTTTAGATACACTTGTTTTGTTTTATTGAAAGCCATAGCACACTTAGTCTATATTGGAGATTATATGCTCCAACCACTTTCAACTAGTTTATTTATTCCTCTTGGGGTTTCCAATCCCTGCAATTGGGGCCTCTTTGGAGGGGCAATCGGCCGGCAGCCGAACGCGACGTTTCATTTCCGAGTCAGTCTCAACAAAACCTTCGTCGTGTTAAGTG